ACTATCCTGGCATTTTAGGGCCTCTGAAATTGTGATAGATAGTGATAAAGTGATATAATGAAATATGTACTTTGAAAGCCTGGAGGTGGTCATTGGATTTTCGGGGCCTGTATGTAGCTAGGCTACCAAAATGTCTCTGATGCTGTGGAGTCTTCATATTCGGGAAAAGTAACAGAATGTGTTTTGGGGTGTTATTCCACATATACCCGTGGCATGCGTGAGCAATACATCATTTAGGTGAGAACTTAAATTTTTTTTGTCAATTTCCAAATATTTGTGGCACAAAATAAAATGTTCCATGGACTCAACATGTCTCTCAGAAAATTCTGTGGGGTGTCTACTTTCCAAAAAGAGGTAATTTGGGGGAGGGGGGTTGTACTACCCTGGCATTTTAGCACCTCAAGAAATGTGATAGGCAGTCACAAAGTAAAAGCTGTGTAAATTCCAATATACTGTATATACTATAGTTTGTAAATGCTATAACTTTCAGACAAATCAATTAATTTACACGTATTGGGATTTTTTTCTACCTAAGACATGGAGCAGAATACATTTTGGCCTAAATTTATGACTAACTTTGATTTTACTGGATATTTGTTATAACTGAAAGTAGAAAATATTGGGGTTTTTCAAAATTTCTATTACAAAAAATAAAAAAAATCAGTGGTGATCAATATTACCAAAGGAAAGCTCTATTTCTGTGAAAAAAGGATAGAAATTTTGTTTGGGTACCTCATTGCATGACCGTAATTACCACTTGAAATAGCGCAGTGTCGAATTGCAAAAAATGACCTGGTCATAAAGGGGGGTAAATCTTCTGGAGGGCAAGTGGTTAATCGATGAAACCGGCTTGAAGCACAGTGCCCACCTTAGGCTATGCCTAGAGGCTTATTTATATAGGCTCTCAACCACTCCTACCTCTACAAATAAGAACACATCGGGGTGAAACATGTCAGAGGGGCATGGCTTAGAGTGAGGATTGTGTTTTAAGTCAGCTATATTGATTAAACTCAACAGTTTGACTTCTACAGAATGTGGTTCAGCTTTTCAATTTGAAGATGTTTGCTGAGTTGGATGAACTTTCATAGACCAGCACTTGATGTAATGGAGAACCTAACATTCAAGAGCGGGGCTTGGACCAGTGCAACGTTCTTTTCCTGAAGCTAAGTAAGTATATGAGATAGACAGACACATGTCAAACAGCACCTGGCATAATAGACCGTCCACCACAGCTGTCACAGCATCTGCTTGGCCATGTGTTGGTGACAGACTTTTGCTGTTATTAATGAGGGTATAGCTAGGAAAAAGTATTTTATGCATGCTCATTCAGAGGTTTAGAACAAAGTTTGGAAAAGATATGGTGAAAGCTCTCTAAAGAGAACCCAGACAGCAGTGCTCCGCTTTTATTCTTTTTTTTTTTTTATTCTATCCTAAGTAAAAAGATTTTAGATTGTTTTTACACTTTAAAATTAATGTTTCATTGGGGTTATACAACTAACTTACTAACTGGTAACCCACTAATCTACTATCTATTCTTCTTCATTGAAGGACAAGCAAACTTTAAATATTAATATTATTATTAATATACAGGATTTATATAGCGCCAACAGTTCGCTCAGCGCTTTACAATATAATGGGAGACAATACAGCAACAATATAGTTCAATACAAAAGGGATAGGAGGGCCCTGCTCCTCGGAGCTTACAATCTAGGAAGGATATATTTTCTTCTTAGTTTTGATTATAGTGTGGAAGAGTTAGTTATAGCTAGTGTGGGGCTTTAAACACTTTCCTTTGCTCATATTCACTCTAATATATTATAAAATATTAGCTCCAAGAGCTAAACAAAATACCCATCACTTTTTGAGTATGGTCACGCATAGGACTTACTGACACTCGTATATGTGACAATACTAGATGCCTTCTATTTGGGTCAGTGCTTCCACATGGGGCAGAAGAAGTCATTAGCAGAGGCGTACCTAGGGTTGGTCTCACCTGGTGCGGTAACACGTGGTGTCACCCCTCTAGAGAGAGTGGTGCCGGTGTAGAGGTAACATGACTATCCCGACCCATGAAGATATGTATCCCCTGAAGCAACTGCGCATGTGCCGGTTTCAGGCCGATGGGTTGCAAGATCACTATGGGTTACAAGATCAGTTAACCCCATATAGGTTGAACCTATACGGGGTTAACTGATCTTGCAACCCATAGTGATCCGCGGGATCAGCTTCAGCAGTTAGCAGCCTGTAAGGAGTTAAATGTGGCAGTTCTGTGCTAAAGTCGGAGATCGGCGATCGGCAATTAGCTTCTTCGGCCTGAAACCGGCACACACGCAGCTGCTTCAGGGGATACATACAGTATCTTCACGGGTCCGGGATACTCATTTTATTGCTACACCAGGGGCAGTTGTCACTGTGCCTGGGGATCCGGGATCACCCTAATAACTGGTCAGGACCTTCACAGAGCCCAGAAGCTCTGCTGGCATCCTGCTTCTGCACCCCCTGTGATGGTGTCACCCAGTGCGGCCCGCACCCCCCGCACCTTACTAAGGACGCCACTGGTCATCAGTCCTCTGTGATTTCCATCAATTAGGTTTGGTCAAGGGTGTTCTTTCCCAAGTCTTCGCAACAGAAAAGGTGAGTATGTACTGCTGAAAAGGGGAAGGGAGAAGTTAAGGGTTCCTTTATTTTACCATACATAGGCAAAGGAAAGGGTCACTTTAAGCGACTCACATGATAACATAGTTAAAGAAAAGCAAAGATTCTGAGCATATGATCACATTGTAATGCATGTTTTTTTGTTAGCTGCAGAGGTATATTTGCACTTTAATGTAATTATTGGACAAGATGATAAATTCTAATCTAGTATTGAAAATATGAGCTAGAGTTGGTTTGTAAAAGTTTTCAAAGCTGTAAACTTCATTAAAAACTATTTCTACTTAAAGCATACACATAATTTATGTTTACTGTCCCTTCAAATCAATTTTGCTGATTTGCAGCAGTAGAACTAAAGATATCATATTTATTTGCAATAATTTTCTTACTGCTCCAGGGGCTACCTGTGTTTCCGATAGGCACCTGCAGACCACATGCAAGCTGTTTCCTTACTATGACCTCTGGACCTTTTTAATGGTACCCAGAGCACCAACCACTGGCCGAACCCTTGCACGTTTTTGCCTCTGGCATACTTTGATGGAATGTGATGGTCAAAGTTTGTGCAATGGTCCGCTGATTGCAGAAGCTAAATATTTTAACTTAAAAGAATTAGTAAAACAAACGTATTCTTGTTAGTTCCATTAAACTGAGTGCAGTGAGGCTTTTGGTAACATTACATGTTTAATCAAAATCTTTTTTATATGTGCAGAATGTTAGCACAGCCAAAATCTGCTTTACTGAAGATTAATGCAACAATATATGATTGTAACACAAACTTGAAACACTTTTATGTTTTACAGGAGTTTATAGTGATGTTTGTTCTGCCTGTGAATGGGTCATTACACCAAAAAAACAATTTTCAATTGTGTACCAAATGACCAACTGACTCGGGAATGATATCCTTGCAGCTCAGTTCCCAGGTCTATTTAACTGTTATGAGAAGGTATATTGTAAAAAACAAAGATTTGCTATCTTACAGGGAACATGTAGATATGTTAGATGTCCCTAACCAGTGTACTAAAAAGTCTACATTTTGTCTTCAACTCTGAGCCTATAGTTTCTTAGCTATGTATCTGCAGTTTGAGATCTAAGGCACCACTAACTCTGACTGCTTGTTCTCTTAGCTGGAGGATATACAAATAGGAGCAATGATAGGACCCCATCCATGAATATAAACATCCCAAATAGAAAAACACCTTATTCTTATTTATCAGATTTTAAGGGTACATAAGGAGACTATACACATACTGTATCTTAAAATGTGTACCTTTATTTTAACATATTTAAAATATATAGTTCAGTCACGATCCTAAAATCAAACAACTGTGTCAATCAGTAAATTATAAAAAACAACATCACATCCTAAATGTTCCCACATAGCTGGGCATACTTTCCACCAAAATGGCCTAAATACTAATTTTAACCATCAATGCTAAGTTCTTAGTATAGATTTCAAAATGTAAAAATAATGGTCATAATGTTAAGATATATGTATAGCATTATGTATCTGTAAATGTTATTTTCTGTTCAGGATGCTGCTTCCTGGACGCAAAAGAAAGCAAAATCAAGATGGCTGCCTCCGCACAAAGAGACAATGCAAAGGAAGGCATGGTGAGTTAGTAATGGGGGAATGATCAGCAATACTAGTGACAAGTCCCTGATCCTCTGTCTGCATTTTTCAGAGTTCAGTTCCTTTTTGATGCCTATATTCTGGCCACAATTTTACTTTAACCACTAAATGCACTAGTGCACTAAATGTCTGCAATTTTGACTCTTCTGTATTTACCTGAAAAACAATATTTGTCCAATGCCAAAAACCCACTTTATTCTGTTTGGAATATCTCAGTGCCTGGTTCATCTCCTGAAGGTTTCTGGTCCTAAAACAACTTGCCCTCCAGAGGATTTACCCCCCTTCTTGACCAGGCCATTTTTTGCATTACATCACTGCATTACTTTAACTGACAATTACACAGTCATGCAACACTGCACCCAAATAAAATTTACATCCTTTTTTCCTACAAATAGAGCTTTCTTTCGATGGTATTTGATCGCCTGTGCATTTTTTATTTTTAGCGCTATAATTAAAAAACTGACAATTTTGAGAAAAAAACTATATTTTTCACTTTTTGCCAATAAACATGTCCAGTAAAAAATTTTTTAAAAAATCAAATTTCGTCATAAATTTAGGCCAAAATGTATTCTGCTACATGTCTTTGCTAAAAAAAAAAAATGCCAATACGTGTAAATTAAATGGTTTACGTGAAAGTTTTAGCATTTACAAATGGTGGTATAGATACTGGAATTTTTTTTAATTTTTATTTTTACTAGTAATGGCAGTGATCAGCAACTTATAGTGGGACTGCGGCGGGCATTTTGACACTGGGGGGAACTGACTTGGTGTCACTGTCATCCCCAGTGACACCAATACAGTGATCAGTGCTAAAAACAAAGCACTGACACTGTACTAAAGGCACTGGTCCGAAAGGGGTTAACATGTGGGGCGATCAAAGGGTTAACTGTGTGCTGTTTTACTTGTGTCTGTATGTCTGTGCTTCACTGTAAGCACACTGCTTTGGATGGCTGTGCTGTGCACAGCCATCCAAAGCAGTGTTCACGAGCTGACAGGAAGGAGAACTGTATTGTTTACATACAGTTCTCCTCCCTGTTGGAGATGATCGGCAATCACCAGGTAACGGCGAGGTAATCACTGGCCGGGACCCGGTGGTGATTAAGTGGTGGCCACAAATGGCGGTGCAGACCTCGCGTTCACCCCTACCCAGAAATGCAAAATCACCTATATAGTATATACGTGATTTTGTGCACCCGTGCCGCCCGGTAGCAGTATATCTGTTATAGGGCGGCCAGGAAGTGGTTAAAGTGAACTCATGGATATAGAGATATGGACAATTCCATTGATTACTTATTTTTCAAGTTAAAAAAAAAAACATGCTAGCAATAGCAGCTTCCATATTTCAGCTACACTGGTTTACTCTCCATAAGACTCTTCCTAAATTCAATGAAGTCTTCCCCCCTGGAGGGGGCTGGTACATTGTTACTTCTTTTGCTTCCATTGTTCACAGCATTCTGTTTACTAAATCACATCTACGTTTCAGGGCTTCTCTATTCTGTTTTACTTTCCACTAACAAACTGAAGAAAACCAACTGCACAAAATTCCCTCACCTATAAAAGGACTTATTTTCTTTGCAATGTAATGCAATAAACCGGTCCACTTCACACATTCTACATAATTTGTGTAACTAAAAAATTATGTATACAAATTAAGCAAACATTTTTGTGAGGTAATCCCCATAAGAGGTTTTTTTTTGGCTTAATATGTAAATAGTTTGGCCTACAAAGCTGCCTAAGAGCTGCAAACTATTTTGGTGATGCTAAACATGCTTCGCGGGTGACTTTCTACTTGTGGCTGGAAAGTTTTAGCTGTGAACAGACATGTTAACATTATAATAAATTACTCTTGCTATTCTTTTCTATGGTTTCTGGTAGAACGGGCAACAACTAGAGATGACAACGAAAAGAACAATGCTACTATAAATGTTTTAGGAGATACACGTTTCCTCTTGTACCAAATTGTATTGTAACTGTAATGTCTACTTCAGCACAAACTATTGACGATATATAAATCCTGTATAATAATAATAGTAATAATAATAATAATTCTTGAAATTTAACCTCTTGCCCTCCAGAGAATCCCCCCCCCCCCCTCCTGACCAGGACATTTTTTGCTTTTCGGTAACTGGTAATTCCGCGGTCATGCAACGCTGTACCCAAACAAAATTTTTCACAAATAGAGATTTTTTTTGGTTGTATTTGATCACCTCTGGGACCAAAAATCTTGAAAAAAAACAATATTTTTTACTTTTGGCTATAAAAAGTATATAGGAAACTCAAAGTTAGTCGTACATTTAGGCCAAAATGTATTCTTCTACATTTATTTATTTCAACTGGTAATTGCACGGTCATGCAAAGCTGTACCCAAACAAAATGTATGCCCTTTTTTCACAAATAGAGCTTTCTTTTGGTTGTATTTGCTCACCTCTGGGACCAAAAATCTTGAAAAAAAACAATATTTATTACTTTTGGCTATACAAAGTATATAGGAAACTCAAAGTTAGTCATACATTTAGGCCAAAATGTATTCTTCTACTTTTATTTATTTGAACTGGTAATTGCGCGGTCATGCAGCGCTGTACCTAAACGAAATGTATGTCCTTTTTTTTCACAAATAGAGATTTCTTTTGGTTGGATTTGATCACCTCTGGGACCAAAAATCTTGAAAAAAAACAATATTTTTTACTTTTGGCTATAAAAATTATATAGGAAACTCAAAGTTAGTCATAACATTTAGGCCAGAATGTATTCTTCTACTTTTATTTATTTGAACTGGTAATTGCGCGGTCATACAGCGCTGTACCTAAACAAAATGTATGTCCTTTTTTTTCACAAATAGAGATTTCTTTTGGTTGGATTTGATCACCTCTGGGACCAAAAATCTTGAAAAAAAACCCAACATTTTTTACTTTTGGCTATAAAAAGTATATAGGAAACTCAAAGTTAGTCATACATTTAGGCCAAAATATATTCTTCTACATTTATTTATTTATTTCAACTGGTAATTGCACGATAATGCAAAGCTGTACCCAAACAAAATGTATGTCCTTTTTTTCATACAAATAGAGATTTATTTTGGTTGTATTTGATCACCTCTGGGACCAAAAATCTTGAAAAAAAAACAATATTTTTTACTTTTGGCTATAAAAAGTATATAGGAAACTCAAAGTTAGTCATAAATTTAGGCCAAAATGTATTCTTCTACATTTATTTATTTCAACTGGTAATTGCACGGTCATGCAAAGTTGTACCCAAACAAATTGTATGTCCTTTTTTTCACACAAATAGAGATTTATTTTGGTTGTATTTGATCACCTCTGGGACCAAAAAATCTTGAAAAAAAAACAATATTTTTACTTTCAGCTATAAAAAATATAGTGCTGTCAATTTGCACAGTGCTTTACATATATATATATATATATATATTATATATATATATATATATATATATATATAGTACATTCACATCAGTCCCTAACCCTTAAGGGGCGTACAATTTAAGGTCCCTAACTTACATTCATACATACACATACTAGAGCCAATTTAGACAGGAGCCAATTAACCTACCAGCATGTCTTTGGAGTCTGGAAGGAAACCCATGAAGGCATAGGGAGAACATGCAAACTCCAGGCAGGTGGTGCTGTGGCTGGGATTTGAATCAACAACCCTAGTACTGCCAGGTGGAAGTGCTAACTATTTAGCCACTGTGCTGGTAAAGAAAATCCCAATAAGTGTATATTGATTGGTTTGTGTGAAAGTTATAGCATCTACAAATTATGGTATAGATACTGCATTTTTTGCTATACAGCATTGTTAAACTGACAATTGTGTGGTCATGCAATACTGTACATAAATAAAATTTATGTCCTTTTTTCACACAAGTAGAGCTTTCTTTTGGTGGTATTTGATCACCTCTGGGTTGTTTTTTTTTTGCGCAATAAACAAAAATTAAAATAAAATTGTGAAAAAAATTATATTTGATCATTTCTGTTATAAATAATATCCAATAAACTCAAATTTTGTCATACATTTAGGCCAAAATGCATCTTGCTATATGACTTTGGTAAAAACAATCCGAATAAGCATATGTTAATTGGCTTGTGTGAAAGTTATAGCGCCTACAGATGGCGGTATAGATATTGGAATTCATGCCACTTTTTGCTCTACAGCGCAGCGCTAGTTTAACTGACAATTGTGCCGTCATGCAATACTGTACATAAATGACATTTATGTCCTTTTTTTCAAACAAATAGAGCTTTCTTTTGGTGGCAGTTGATCACCTCTGGTTTTTTTTTTTTTTTTCTTCTTCTTTGCGCTATAAACAAAAAAGACCAAAATTTTAGAAAAATAAATATTTTCTCATTTCTGTAATAAAAAATGTCCAAAAAACTCAAATTTTGCCCTAAATTTAGGCCAAAATGTATTTTGCTATATGTCTTTGGTAAAAAAAAAAATCTCAATAGGTGTATATTAATTGGTTTGTGTGAAAGTTATGGCATCTACAAAAAAAATCCCAATAGGTGTATATTAAGGACAAAGACCTAGAAAACAATGGTTTAAATGAATAAGTATTTTATATTAATGTATTCCAGGCTTCATATATTTATTTGGTGGCCTCCTTCCAACGTTGTTAGACAACAATCAAGCAATATATTAAAAGTATTAAATATCATTACTAAGTAATTACCAATGCATTGTTGGGGTTTTGACAAAACACGTTATGAAGACCATTGGTAAACTAGTGTGGTGTTCACAAAAACTATGAGGGAGCCATGGGGTTAACATGAGGGGTGATCAAAGGGTTAACTGTGTGTTGTGTGCTGTTTCAAAGCAGTGTGCAGGAGCTGACAGGGGAGAGATCTGTGTTGTTTATACACAGGTCTCTCCCCCATCAGTAATTCTCTGAGATCACCAGGTGCCGATGAGGAATAACAAACCGGGACCCGGTGATTGACAGCCGCGGCTGCAAATAGCGCCTGCCCCCTAACTGCAAAATCACATATATATATATATACTGTATATATATACATACACACATGATTTTGCACACATCTGCCACCCTGTAGCAGTATTTCTGCTATAGGACGGCATGGAAGCAGTTAAATAAAATATTTGTATATAAAATCATCCCATCTTAAAGTGGCTATTGTTAAATAATTTTTAAATAATTCTGTGATATAAATTGAATGCAAAAAGACAGGCCTTAATGTTTGTTTGAGCTCAGCAATGAATACTTTTGTGAAGTTTTTACTTGTTGAATATCACTCAGTACAATTTGGTTTTGTAAGCATTAGTTAATTAACATAGATGTCCATGTCAGGAATCGATAAATGTTTAAAGTTATAATGTCAAAAATGATCAAACCAGGTCTTCTACAAAATACTGCAAATACTCGAAAAACTGCCAAGGAATGCAGATTGTGAGTGTGGATGAATTTAATGTCAAGGATTTTCTCTCTTTGTTACAATACAAGTAAAAGTTAACATTTATTTTTCATGCTTTTTTCTGTGTGTGTAACATGCCCAGCAGATATAGAAATCAATATAAACTCAGTTCCAACTCTGACCTGAATTGGCCTTTCCCAGTCAAAGCAAAAAAAACATTTATAGATCAGACTGAACGTTTAATTAGATCTGATTGACATTTCAACAAAAATTAGAAACATTGCAGTTTACCCACTTAAATAATTTTCTGGGCCAATTATGTTGCCACCAGCAGCTTTTCTGACTGCATGGCATTAGTGCGGCTTGGAATAGAAGAAATGACTATTGGTAGTTTCTTTACAGCAAAGGGAATTAGAGAGTATCAGCTGTAGGTCACCAGTTAAAATATCTTGAATCAAAAAGGGACAGGATTCAGTAATAACCACTGACTGAGCTGAGCTTGGAATGCATCACTGGTCAGAGTTCAGGGCTGTGAATGATGACACATTTAATGAAGTTTTTAAAGCTTGAATGGAATTGGAAGGTATCCAAAATGATTTCAAACTTCCAAAGAATGTATTTGTCCAAAAAATATTAGGGTCTATTGATTTAATTCCAAATTATTTCACTATTTTATTTAGAAAGTTACGTTTAAATGATATTCTTTTTTGGCTAACTTAAGTTATTAATGATGCAAGCATTCGGGATAACGTAAATCCCTTTGTCAGGCTTTACACATT